CCCCATTCCCAGTCCCCCTACTCCCACCTTTCTTACCTACTCTGTTGTATTATAGATAACCAATCGGCTGGGTTTCATTTGCACGTGTGAGCGGATATATGTATGCTTTCTCAAATTCTCCTTTTTCTTTTATTATTGTGAAACTTTTTTTAAAAAGTAAGCTAGGGTCTCACTATTCTCACTCCTGCCTCAGTCTCCTAGGACTGTAGGTGCATGCCACCACACCCAGCTCAGTTTTAGGCAGGGTTTCACATACTGCTCAGGTTAGCCTGGAGGCGACGATCCTTCTGCCTCAGTCTCCATAGTCACTGGGGTGACTGGGAACTTAACACCATGGCCAGCCTTAGGTTGGACGAGGAACTGAACCTGTGCTTCCCATGAGGTCCCAGCCTGTGGAGTAGAGTGTCTTAGCAGCCGGTGCCACCATGACTGGACCTACTATAAAATGCTGGGTTGTTGGAAAAGTCATGAGACATTTTTGCCTAGAAAACCATAGGAAGAAATGTTATGATGTAGCTGATCCAGCAGTTTCAATTTAGTTTGGGATGAAAGAATTTGGTGATGTTTTGTGATCACATAATAAAACCAAGAAAGAGGTTTTGTCATATTCAGCTCCTTTGTGTCCCCAAACAATAATAATGGCAACAAGAAATTAAAAACAAACACACACACACACACACACAAGCCAAAGTCATTATTCAAAAAGGTACTGGTAATAATAACTTAGTAAAATGAATCAAAGCACTTTAACAGCTATTTTAACGTCTAGGACTTGTTTGGCCCTCAGAGAAGTTAACTAACTCTGCTGAAACCAACCTGACAGGCTGTGGGTTCACCTCGTGGACGAGACAGTGGGGGCGCTGTTGAGGCAGTTGTTTGCAGTGACTATCTGCCGTTACAGCTGCCAAGCCAGTGTGTCCAATTACACCAGAGCCGGGGGGATGCCTGTATCCATGTTAGCAATTTTAGGAATGTTTGCTGGAACATATAGTTGAGTGTCTTATATGTATATAATACATATAGTAAACAAAGTCAATTTTTTTCTTGTACGCAAGTTACTAATTTTGTGACTCTTTACCAGAATGTGGGACTTTTTTTTTTTTTGCCATAGGGCATGTACATTCACCAGAGAGAGAGAGACAGTGAGAGGGAAAGTGAGAAATCACTGCCGAAAATGGATGACCACATGACAATCTCTCCTCTTCCATTCTCCTCCTGAGACTCTGGGTATGCACATGTGTCCAGAGTGATTTTCAAGCTACCATATCTAAGACTTGAACCACCATTGGCTATGTGGGAGTCCAGCACTTTAAAAACCATGCCACCTGCTGGCTTCCAGAATGAAACATATTATGATAGAATGCAAACACTACAATGGCTGAAATAATTACTACTTCTTAGAAGAATGTGTGTAAGGTGATCTGGGAACCAAATGAGTTTCCTCTGTAAGATAAAGTTATATACATGTAGGTGATAATGTGGAAACTCCACTAACTTGTCTTCTTGGTTCTGAATGAAACAGCTTAAGATTTGGGGTTATTTTCAGAGAAGAAGTTCTAGTTTCTCTCTCTCTCTCTCTCTCTCTCCCACACACACACACACACACACACACACACATACACAGCAGACTTAGAACATCTTTATCTGTACATTTAAAGCTCACCAGCTTTAGTCCATAATTTAGTGCTTTGAGGAAGACATCTCTGAATTAATGAAGATAAAGAAAACATTGACTTCAGCCCTGGATGCACCTAGCATGTGGCATAATGAAAGCAGTCAGGGCTGCCATAGCTGTTCTTCTCAGAATGACTGGCTGGCATTAGTGTGCAGAGAGCATTCAGTGCGGAAGGCATCTCCCTATGCATGCTTGAAAATGTTCCCTTTGCAGCAAGGAGGAAGCACATTACAAATCCCAAAGCAATATGCGGTCATTGCAGGATAGGGATGTAGAGTGTGGGCAAGGCAGAACGAGAACCTTATTAATGTGTCGAGGCTCATGGAAATCCCTGCCTCGTTGGTCTTGGCTAGCTTACCAAGTACAAACTGCCCTCTTGGTAACACCTGGTTGTGTATTTGCCTGCATGTCTATTTGAACTTGGAGTTGCTGACCTTCGCATCAATAGCTCAACAAAGAGAATAAGATATGATGACTAAGGCTTTTCTTCCTTTGTTCAGAGGTGTCTCCATATACTTGTTGAGCTGCTGTTTTCTTGGGAGTGTACATTTGGTCAATAAACCATTATGGCGGGCTCAGTTCCTGACTGACCTACAATTGCTGGTTTGCTGATTGGTCTATCAAAATATCCCATTGTATGTGCACACAGGGGCTAGAAATGATCCTTTCTATTTTCCCGTTGTGTGTCGATGTCTGCTCTCGTGTGGGTGTCTGTGCAGATGGGCTTCTCGCTATTCCTGACAATTTAGGGATGGGGATCGACTGGCCAGTCCATTGCACATTGCGTTTTATGTGAGTGATTCTTTTTTCTTTTCTGCAGAATGGAGAATTAGTACGTGAAGTCTAATTTCCCTTCTGCACCTAGGGATGAGTAGCTCTGAGTGCTGGAATGGTCTATTCATCACTTTGATAATAGTGATCCTGCTGTGGGCTCACAGGAAGGTCTGGCGTGGAATCCATACCCCTTGTGTATGCCACATGGAGCTTCACACTCACCTTTATGCCACCCCAGGATGAAGCACTGGGGCTCATTCATGTCACCTGCTGGGAAGAGACAGGCTGGAATAGGAGTACAGCCTACCTGGTTATGAACAAGGTGCCCAGTCCCTATGCGTACTGACTGCTCACCTTGCTGTCCTGGGATCATGACCTTATTTCTCCCCTTCCCTGCAGACTGCTCACTCCATAGCAGTGACTGATGGCAAACAAAACATAACCTGGCAGAGGAAAAGGGTTCTGCTGCATAGACTCTTCCTTACCGAGGCTCTGGGTTAGCAACCTGCAGAATTTAAAATATCAAGATTGAGGGATTCTTTAAGGATCGTCTAGTTTGATTTCCCTATTGCCATTTTCTGAGGGCAGCTAATAAAAGGAGGAGATAATTAACATGTTTTGAATGTGTGCAGAGTGACAGGTATTGGACATATCTTATTGAACTCGTAAACAACCTACTAAGTAGGTATTAAGCTATCCCTTTTATGTAGAAGATCAGAGGGGCTAAGATCTTTGCCCAAAGCCGTAATAATCAGGATGGAAATACTGCATGCCTGCCTTCCGGGCTTGACCCCCCCCCCCCCCATGAGTTTTCCCTTTTCCTGAGGGCTCAGGGACTTCCTGCTAGAAGTGTTCTTCTGTCCACATTCATACTCTGAGATCCTACCATCCTTCCAGCCAGGCTCAAAGTAGGTCCAGCGTGAAGCCTTCCTCGCCTTCTCCCTCTTCACCTTAACTTCATCGATATTGATGTTTTGCCATTGTGAACAGGTTATTTCAGATTAATATGACCCATGAACACTCATTATGAGCATCGCCAACAGATCCTGCTATTTACGGCTGCAGAAAATGTAGCCTAGAGCTGTGTGTTTAGCTGAGTAAGAAGCTATCAGGATAAACATAAATGGGGAATTCCTTGGTTGCCTGCGATGCTAATAAAGTATACCATAGGCACTCCAGACACTTCTCTGTAACACCCCGACCTGGCTAACTTTACTGAGGTCTTGCTGCTCTGGAGCTGGTGCATGAGAGAAATTGAGTCACATTCTAGTGTCTGGTCTTGAGTCCTGTTTTCATGTGCTCATGACTGTAACTTCTTCAAGTCTTTCTTGTCTCCCTCTAAATTGAGGTAATGTTAGAAAATTTGTACAAATTTGTCTACAGTGAACATATTGAAATTTTTTTTTTGGGGGGAGGTTTTTGCTGTAGGATTCGTGCACTTGCCAGAAAGACAGAGAGACAGAAAGTAAGAAATCACCCCCCCCGGGGGTGGGGGGATAGCCACTCCACAGTCCCTTCTCTTCCATTCTCCTCTTGGGTATGCATGCACACGCACCCTGCATGAGTTTAAGCCACCAGGTCCGGGACTCAAACTGTGGTTGGCTATGTGGTAGTCCAGTGACATAGACATTGCACCAACTGCTGGTCCCTACGCATTGGCTTTAATGCTACAAATGTGGTATATAGCTCATGCCACCTTCAAAGACAGGAATGGTATCAGGTACTTTATTTTGATTTAAACTTTTAGAAATGGTGCTATGATACACATAAGATTTGGCATTTTAACTGTTTGGAGGTGTATGGTTCAAGCATATTGTCGTGCCATGACTACCACTGTCCATCTTCAGGACATTTTCATCTTACAAAATTGCTCCCCTAAACACTAGCTCCGTCTTCTTTGCCCCCCACAGCCCCATTGCACTTCCTGATTCTATGAATTTAACTCTTCTAATCACATAGTGTAAACAGAATCATGCAGTGTTTGTCTATCTGAATCTGGCCTATTTCAGCTAACATCTTGTTCCCAAGATTCACCCATGTGTCAGAAAGAATTCTCTTCCTTTTTAAGACTGAATAATATTCTATTGTATGGATAGATCACATTTTGTTTATCTACTCAACTATCAATGAACGCTACTGTTGTAAGGCTGCTGTGAAAATGGATGTACAAATATTTGTTCAAGGTCTTGCTTTCTTTTGGGCAAATAGCCAGGAACACAGTTGCTGCTTATACTGTAGTTCTACTTTTAATTTTTTGAGGAACTATCACACTGTATAAATATTTTCAAGTTAATTGTATTGTGACAACAGGTGTATATTATTAAATTATAATGTACCTTTAAAAATTAATATCATTTAATTTTAGAAGGTTTTCAGATCTGAGTTATAAATGTAGCTAATAAATTTGGAATAGCCATAAAAATATATTGTGGCAATAGCATTAGCTAGCTAGAAAGTCTTCCTACCTAAATGTGTGATATTACTCAATGGGTATTTTACATATAATATGGAGAGTCTAAATTAAATATGTTTCTATTGCTTTTTAAAAAAGAGATGCTAAGATTTCATCCAGTGAACATATGCGGATTGGAGGGAGTGAGGAGATGGCCTGGCTGCAGATCTGTGAGCCGACTGAGAAGGACAAAGGAAAATACACTTTTGAGATTTCTGATGGCAAAGATAATCATCAACGCTCACTTGACCTATCTGGACAAGGTAAAAGAATGATTCTTTATCATCTAGGTTTTTAGTATTTAGCTATCCATTTAGATGCTGAAAGGAAGATATATATCAAGAAACAATCTATGATTTTCATGGAGAGAAACATTATTTCTGAAAAATCATTTTACTTATTTGACTCTTTACTAGTTTTTATTAACTGAATTTAATAATGGGCACTTGTGTGAATAAATAAAAGCTAGACACATTGAAACAGTTAATAATGTATGAAATTTTTCCTTACAGCTTTTGATGAAGCATTCGCAGAATTCCAGCAACTCAAGTAAGATTTCAAGATTATTAGCCATCTAGGGGTCCAATTGACTTGGATTCACATTGGCTACACGTGGGGATGTCTATAAATGCCTATGTGATCCAAAAAATGTGATATTCTTGGTATAAAATTAGCAATTTAAATCATCTAGTAGGTAGAAGGGCAGACATTCTAAAGCAGAAAGGCATTAATAAATTAACTTTTTTTTTTTTTCCTGGAGAAAGGGCTTATTTCTGTAAGTGGTTACAGGGAGATAGTAAGCACCATCAAACTGTGAAAAAGCTCAGCATGTGCTCAGTATTTATGCATACAAGAATAAGTGTTTGTAAGTCACTCCTCACTACAATCATTCAGTCAATTGCTTTCTCCTGAGTAATTATCCTAATTCCTGTTTTACTTTAAATACCCATTCCAAGGTTGTCATCAGACAATTCCTCAAAAAGGCCTCCCATGTCTCAGTGCTTAGTCAGATTGTTGTCCTTAGAGGTCTTTCTTAATTTCAAGGTGGCTCTAGTCCTGCTAAACCTTGAAGTGGCCTGCTTAAATCCCCACTGTTAAAAACACCAAGATTTCTATTGGGGTTATATTTTACTATGAAAAGGCTAAATTGCCTCTCTCCAATCATTTCTGGTCTTTGGCAATGATTGGATCTGTAACTTTGATATGTTTGTAATCCAGTACAAGCATCAGGTGCCCAAACAATGACATCAATAAACCAATAAGTAACAATTTTCTTATTTCTATATTTTTTCTTCCATTCAGGAGCCAGGAAAATATGTTAGAAAACCAATCAGTAGTAACCTTTAGCAATGGAGTATGTTGACTTAGAGTGGTTTGAAGCCAAGGTGCCTGTTGTCTAATTTTCTCAACATTTGTCTCTACTTGGGAGGATATATTTATGTAAGAACAGCAGGAAGTATTAATTGTCCTACAAACACTGCCATGTTAAACTAAAACATAACCTAATACCATCCACTTACCTAATACTACTTTTTTTGAAGAATCTAAAGACAACTGCAATTTACTTATAGATTTGGCGATCTCATTAGCTATGATCACAGTCTTCGATAAATTCTGTAACACATTTTGGTGGACTGGAATTCTCCACCAAGGTAACAGAGCATGGTCAAGGAAATATTCATCCCCATCAGGTATGCCCCCAGTAAGTCCCTCTGAATTCTAGTGAAAAATTCACAGTACTGGTCGTGTTCAGGCTCAGCAGAATTGTGGAAAAGCTGTAGACTGAGAAACTTAATGAAAGCATTACTTTCTCAAACCAGCCCAGGGTTACAAAGCAGAATAATTGTCAAGACTTGGTAGTTGATTTTTGCTTGAAAAGAAATTTTAGGTCTTGAATAGGCTCACCTTCCCAGGTGTCTTGGTGTTCATTGGCCGCCACCTTGGTGGGTATGGCTTTATTCTGGTGTGATGGATCCCTGGCTTGGTTCCCCACTGTTCATTCTACCTTTTAGTATTCAGTAATTCTTGGAACACTGAGGTAAAGACTGCACAAGGGCACAGCTTAGAGGAGCATTATTTTCAAACACATGAAAGTTTTTCACTCACTGAGTTCTCTAAACAGCAGTTTTTGTTATCAGGCATGCTAGCATGAGAAAATACATCTGGGGCCTTCCTGGCTTGGTTTAGTCAGGGTTGACACAAATGCTCTATTCTAGTTCTGAAAGCTTTCACATTTCTCCTTATTGATCAAGATTTCTCTCTATAAGCATTGCTGATCATTTATCTGATAGTTATACTTAAATGGTTTCTTGGTGCTGGGATGGACCTCTCTTGGTTGTTGATCTAGTGGTCTCATGCTGGAGGGGAATGACAAGAGACTAGAGTCATTCTCAAGTCTTTCCATCCCCCCCCCCTTTTAAACCTATAAATTAACTTTCTAGAGTCATAATAACCCTAGATTACTTTAAATAAATAAAATCATAATTTTTTAAAATATTCTAATCATGGTAACACATTATACAGAGCAAGTTTTTAAAGAATATTTTGGGATTTTCAAATATGTGTCTGGATTTAAGAGTATCCAATACTGACAACAGCCATGAGCTCATACTAGGGTATTCAATAAATACTTGTTGACTGAGTGCATGGACAAGTGAGATAAATCAGAAATGACAATTGCAAAAATATCTATAAGTCTTCAATGCAATCTGGTGGATTTAGTGGAACAAAAATTTCTCCAAACTGTGAGTTCCAATGTTAAACTTTTCTGTAAGTATTAGCACCTGGAAGATAGAGCATTTCTTATTTCAAAATGGGCAGTGAGTAGACATCAGGAGAAAAAAATATACAGAAATACATCCTCAAATCTTGTGATCTCAACATGTTCTAAGAGAAAGCAAATGTATATCTTTTTTTTTTCTTTTGCTCTCATCACTAACAAACTTCTCAAATGTATAGTGCTTTTTTGTTGTTGTTGGTAATGCTTTCTTAATACTCTATTTACTCTTTTCTACCTCTTTTAATTTTTAGGGCTGCTGCTTTTGCAGAGAAGAGTAAGTACACATTTCATTGTAACAGGATGATACGTTATATTGGGTGGGAAAAGAGTCCCTATTTTAGAATATTATTTTTGTATGTGAAATAATAGCTTGTAACCTTTCCTGTCCCAGTTTGAAAACCCTTATCTATACCAGGCTCTTCATCCAACACTAACACATACAGCCCTTCCTGCCCCAGCTTCAGCTTCTTACCTTGCGGGCCTCCTTTCTTGACCTTGGAAAACCCTGCCCTTCAGATGCTGGGGAAGGCAAGTGGCTCTCCCTGCCTTCCCTCCTTGGTTGATTCTTCCTCACTCTGCTCACAGTCCATGTTTCCTCCAGAGGGTTCTGTGACCTCCCCTGCAGAGAGTCAGTGATTTCCTCTCCTATACGCCCTTGGCCTTTGTGCATCCCTCCACTGTAGATAGGTCTGTTTCTTTGGTGCCCTCTCTCAGCAGAACAAGTGCCCCTCCCCATATTCACCTTGGCAGCTCCTAGTGCTCAGCATGGGGTCTGCTCCATGGCAACATCCCTGTGGATGTTTTCTGAACCAAGTTGCTTTCGTGTTACAGATCGTGGCAAGGTGCTTGGTGGCTTACCCGATGTGGTGACCATTATGGAAGGCAAGGTAAGACAGCAGGGTCCAATGCCAGGATGGGGTAGGACTTCAGCATGGTGCAGTCAGAACCCTCCTCCCAGGGCAGAGCAAAGGGCCACTAGGGAGTCGGTTCTGTGTCCTCACTCAGCCTGCAGAGGCCTTAGAGTTCCTATCCCCATCCTGCTCGACCAAGGCAGCCTCTGATGATGCCTGTGCTATCGGAGGGTGGAAGAACTTAATATTCTGAATGCATAAACAGTGCTTTTGAGACTGCGGGAATGTGTTGTGTGACTCAGGGACCTCAAAGCAGGCACGTGGCAGAGGTTGTCCTTAGACCTTCAGGACTGCTGCCACCTGATTCTGGGGCTGTTGAAAGGATAATGGTACAAGAGGAGGTGGGGCCACATTTTGTGTGAAAGTGTAAGCCATCTGCTTTTATAAAACGAAAGAAAAAAAGTCCCTGCTCCAATTTTCAAGGTGATTTTGGAATATATAATGGAAACCACTTATCAGAGTTTTAATTTGTTGCCCTGTCAGTGGAATTATTGATATCTAATTGGTACTTCTCTTGTTGCTTCAGTGATTCTAACTCAATGTCACGGGGACATAGATCCTTAAGAGAATTTTATTAGGTCAAAATACAAAAAATTTATAGACCTTTTCTTTAGCAGCTAAAGAAAGCCTAGCGATCTCTTGAGACTGAATAATCACGGGTCTCATAATAAAGATGTAATTGAGAAATTAGCAACCATTTTACTTTGTCACAGGCTGAAAGCAACGCTTTAACTAAGCACAAGAATGCATTTGCTGTATCTAATTTACTAGCTGTAAGACAGGATATTCCCTGAATTTGCCAGAGGACCTTGTAAAACAGATCCATAAGTGTAAATATAAAGGAAATTTTGCAATAGGCAACCATATCTACTATAAATCACGGAGCTTAATTACCTTCACATTCTTTCATTGACTTAGGCTATGGATTACAACTGAGAATAAATATGATTATCATTGATGTTTCTCATGAGTTCTGATATGAAAGTGGGAATCCCTTTGCACCTGTCTCTCAGTTCCCTCATTCTAACACAGTGCTAACATATATACAGGGCTTGTTGATTAAATAAGTGACTAATACATGTAATTGTGTGCAACAGAGAGCTGAGACCATCTGAAGAGGTAGTAGGACTTTCTTTATTCCTTACTCTTCTTTCTCTGCTCTCCTTTTCCTTCTGAAGACCTTGAATCTGACTTGCACAGTATTTGGAAATCCTGACCCAGAAGTGGTTTGGTTCAAGAATGACATGGATATCGAGCTCAGTGAGCACTTCCAAGTGAAGGTGGAGCAGGCCAAGTATGTCAGTCTGACCATCAAAGGGGTGACCTCCGAGGACTCAGGAAAGTACAGCATCAATGTCAAGAACAAATATGGAGGAGAAAAGATCGACGTCACCGTCAGTGTGTACAAACATGGGGAAAAGATACCGGAGATTTCGGCGCCCCAGCAAGCAAAACCAAAACTCATCCCAGCTTCTGCCTCAGCTCCAGCTGAATAAAACAATTTCACCCCGCCTGGAGATTAGGAATTAAAAAAAAAAAAAAAAAGGAAGTTATAGGAATGCTGTGTGCTTGTTCCAAGTGAATGGCCATAACTGGAATGATGTCACTTATGGGTAGATAATTGATCACACGTGATGCTTTTAATGTTTGCGTTTGGCGATTACTAGTTTATGTCTGTCTAAGGGGAAATGCTGTTTTCTGCAAGGCTGAACAATTTAGGTTACATGATTGAAAATGACAGAGACCTGGATGGAGAATGGGTTGGAAGTGGATGGCTTACATCTTCATGGATATGGGCAGGTGGAAATGGTACCCAAATGAGTGTGGCATATGGAGATCTGGGCAAAGCCACTGTCCATTGTGTGGTTTACTCATGCTTGCAAGGTCTAGCAGCTTTGGGATTCTAATTGAACTGCCTCTAAAGCATGTTACCTGGTTTCATTCTGTTTTCTCTTGCTTTTGGCTAATAAAATTTAAAAGGCACCTTGTTTTAGTATGTCTATACCAAATCATCCTTAATGATATCTGCTTACTCTCCTGGCTTGTTTAATAATAGATTATTGTGCAATGTCACCAGTGGTAGCATGCAGAGAATGAGCTTACAACCCAGAGAGCCAGGCTGGTGAATCACACTCACTGGAGAGTTCTTTCCTGTCGTGCTGGGTGACAAGAAAACTGGTGCTGGCCGGGGAAGGCACCCACCATACCACAATTCTTTTTCTTTTTTAAAATTTATTTTTAAATTTACATACAATCACTGAACATCTTTACAGTGTCCAGCATGGCTTTTCCCAGCATATCTTTGACTGAATTGATATACAGTGTATTCATGCTGGGAAAATTCATTTTGCATGCTGCCACAATATACAGTGATTGAATGTAAAATAAATGAAATAAAATAAAAATCAAAAGCTGAAAAAAATAATGGTAAGTGTTGATGAAGCTGTGATGAAAAGAGAACCCTCCTGTATGGTCGGTGGTAAACTAGGACAATTACTGTGGTGAACAATATGGAGGTTCCTAAGAAACCTACAATAAAACACCACAATTTTTTTTAAGAGAGATTTTTGATATAGGGCATGTGCACTCACCCGAGAGACAGAGACAGAAAGATAGAAAATGAAAAATCACCCCTCAGGGGAATGGCCATGTCACAATCCCTTCTCCTCCATTTTCCTTTAGGGATTTTGAGCATGTATGCACATGTGCCTGGCATTGAGTCTTAAGCCGTCAGGTCCAGGGAAGTGAATGAGTCCAGGGACTTGAACCACGGTCAATTATGTGAGAGTCCAGTGATATAACCATTACACCATCTACTGGTCCCAACACCATAATTCTTTTTTTTTTTTTTTTGAGAAGTTTTTGCTATAGGGCGCGTGCGCTCGCCAGACAGACAGAGAGAGACAGAGAGACAGAAAGCGAGAAATCACCCCCCAGGGGGGATAGCCACGCCACAATCTCTTCTCCTCCGTACTCCTCTCGGGATCTTGGGCACACATGCACATGCGCCGGGCGTGAGTTTTAAGCCACCAGGTCCGGGATGCGAACCGCGGTCGACTACATGGGAGTCCAGCGACATAGCCATTATGCTAACTGCTGGTCCCATCAACACCATAATTCTTAAGAAGGACGTGGGACTTAAAAATATTACCTGGTTATCATACTGAAGATCTAAACATTTCTGTAGATACCGACAAAATTGTAGATGGCTTTGTTCTTTTTTAGTGTGCTAATTAATTAGGAAGAGCTTTCCAAAGAAAGATGACACTCACTTGAAGTGATCATGACAGTAGTCATGGAGGAAAAATAAAAACTTGGCTGACTATTAAAGGCCTCTTGGTGAAGTTAAAAAACGTGTATAAAATGAACATACCCTTTCTTTGAACCTTTTTGTCTTTTTTTTTTTTTTTGGAAAGAGGCTGAAATTCCTCTGGCATAATTTTTTTTCTGCAATATTTATTTTAATACTTGTTTTATTAAAAAAAATGTTGGTCCTTAAGAATATTTTCTCTGTCTGTGTCATTAAGACCCATCCAAATTTTATGTTATTTTGTCATATTTTCTAAGGTAATGACAGAAATCCTGAAATTTAAATATGTTGCTAATGATACAAAGGCAGCTGAGCAGGTTCTCATAGCAGTAAAACGAGTATCAGCAAGAATTTTATTTTTATTTTTCCCTTCTCTGTTGTACAGATGAACTTTAGCTGAGGTTGTTATTACCACATGGTGAAGCAGCATTTCCAAACCCATCCTCGGCAAGGGTCATTATGAACAGTCTTTTCTATATTTAACTTTATTTAGTTAAAAAGAAGTTGCTTAATTTCCATGTAAGCAGTCATTTTTATTTAGCAATTATGGCACATGGGAAAGAATTAAAATGGTTGTGAATTTCTTAAAGCCATTTACACACACACAAACACACACACACAAGTTTACCTATTTCTTCAGTGAGAGAGACAGACACTCCCATCAGGGTCCTCAAGCTGTGATCCACTCCCCTTCTCAGCTGGCATGGACAATGGGCATGGACATTTTTACTCTGTGTGTTCAGGGAAGTCCTGGGACATGAACCAAGACATTTCCAGGTGGGCCCAGCAGTGTCACCATGGCACTATTACCTGGCCCAGAAACTTTATGTATTTTTAAATAAACTTTATTTTTTTTGGGAGAGATTTTAGCTATAGGGTGCATGACTTGCCAGAAAGATAGAGACAGACAGACAGACAGAAAGTGAGAAATCACCCCACTGGGGAGAAGGCCATGCCACAATTCCTGCTCCATTCTCCTCTCAGGGTTTTGGGCACACACACACCTACATACACACACACACATGCTCAGCGTGAGGTTTAATCCACTGGGTCCACTTGAATGGCATCGACTACATGGGAGTCCAGTGACATAACCATTATGCCGTCTGCTGGTCACACAAACTTTATTTTTTAAAGCAATTTTAGGATATCAGCATAATTGGGTGGAAGGTATAGAGAAATTCCATATGCCCCCTACCCTCCACTTATACAGCCTCCCCCCACCATCAGCATCCTCCACAGTCATCCACTTGTGACAACTGATGAATCTATTGGGTCATCAGAAAAGTCATGATGTATTTTTATTTTTTTTAATGCAAAAATGTGTCATGACTTTTCCGATGACTGAATACATTGACATTAATCACCCCAAGTCCATAGTTTATCCCAGGGTTCACTCTTGGTTTCCGACAGGTGTATAGTAGTGATACATTATTTACCAGAATAGTAAAAGCCTTAAAAATCCTCCAATCAAAAATCCCTGGTAATCACATACATTTTTTTTTGTCTCCATAGTCTTGATTTATAATATTTTAAAAGAAGTTTTTATCTTTGAATAATCCCAGATATGCAGAAAAGTTATAAAGACAGTGAAGAGAGTGCCCATCCACGCCTTCCACAATTTTCCTTGAGCTAATACGAGATAATACTCCTTTTTTCATAGTATGCCTGTCAAAACCAACGTTGGCATGTTGTTGTTACCTCAACTCTAGGCAGTCTTTGGATTTAACTGGTCTTCCATGAGTGCCCACTTCCTGTTCGAGAATTCCATCCAGGACACCGTAGTGCATTTAGTTGTCAACTCTCTCTGGCCCCCTCTGGTCTGTGATAGTTCCTGTCTTCCCTTGCTTTCATGACCTTGGTGATTTTGTGATTTTTATCCTACAGAGTGTTCCAATTCATGTGTATCTGATGTTTTGTCCTTAATAATATTAGGGGTTATGAGCTTTTGGAAAGTAGAGTCACATCCCATCAGGGGCACCTGACATCCACATATCATTGGCAATATTAACCCTTATTTATCTATTTTTAAAAGTTTTGCTATAGGGTGTGTAGACTTTCCAGAAAGGGGTGGAGGAGAGAAGTCACTCCTGGGAGGATGGCCACTCCCCATCCCTTCTCCTCCAGTCTGCTCTCAGAATTTTGGCACACATGCATATGTGCCTGGTGTGACTTTATTTTCTTGGGGAGAGATTTTAGCTATAGGGTGCATGACTTGCCAGAAAGATAGAGACAGACAGACAGACAGAAAGTGAGAAATCACCCCACTGGGGAGAAGGCCAGGCTGCCAAGTCTGGGACTCAAACCACACAGCCAGGCATATGGGATCCAGAGTGTTAACCTGCACCTATTGTCCTCAGTAATATTAACCTCTATCCTTATTAAGGAGGCTGCCACTGTGAAATTACTGTTTCTCCCTCTTCTTATTCTATTCTACAGATGTTAATCTCAGTCTAGCACACCCCGAAGGGAGAAATTGTGTAGCGATAAGTTCCCTCTCTTGGAGAAGAGAGTATCTACATTTATCATTTGGAATTCTTCTTCAGGAAAGATTTACTTCTTTTCTCCAAGTATTTATTTATATTTATATGGACTCATGTTTTCTATTTTGTACCTTGAGTTATAATCCAGTACTCTGTTATAAATTTTGTTGCTCAGAATCTTCCACTGTTGGCCACGGTCATGGTGAGCTCTTTCAGATTGGCTCATGTGTCCTTTAATGTTTACTTTTTCAGCACTTGCTTACCTTCTGCCATTATAAAACACTCAGGCTTAGTGTGCATGTTCCTTACCTCATCCTTAGAATCAGCCAGTTTTCTAGGAAAATGGGATTAGAAACCAAGATCTGGGCACTGAGTGTTAATAGTTTTTTTATCATACACTTTTACCCTGTGATATTTATGCAAATGAATAATTTATGACATAGGTAATGCAACTCTGATTATCAATTGCTCCTTCTAGGGCAGACTGTGGAAGGCTAAGTACCTGGAAAAGATAGAAGGTCATCCACTCATTGTCTCTGGAAAACACTGCACTTGCCCTTTCCCAGAAGTGTCATCTACCTTTTTATTACTTTTTAGAATCCCTACGTATGGCAGTGGAAAGGCTGGCTTCAGAGCAGGAGATGTGGTCATCAGAGCTCGGTGCATTACTTAGGAAATGCCATTGGCCTCTAGGAGTAGGGCCTTCTCCATCAGCATTTTACGTTTTGCTTAATAGCTGTGAGGATAACAAGACAAGGAACGAGAATAGTTTGAGAAGTTCAAAGTTTGTGGAGGTACTGATTTTGTGAAAAACAAAACAAACCCTTTTATTTTTCCAGGGCCACTTGAAAACATGTTTCATACCTCACATACACCAAACTTCTTTATCCCTTAATACTTTGGATTGTGTTTTCTAAGAAAAAGAAAAGATACTCCCTTCTGTTACCATCATAGGGTTATTGATGTCAAGAAACTTGACCTTCACATAATACTTTAATCTATAAACTATGCTCTAATCTTTCCACATATCCCAATAATATCCTCAGAGTGTTCCCTCCACTGGAGTTCAAATCCAGTGTAAGATCATGTATCATGTTCAGAAGCCACATCTTTACTTTGCTGAAAGACCTTCCTTTAATGGATGGCATTGCTACTTTTGAAGAATGCCAGCTGGTTATTATATATTAATT